CCGTCGACTGCTGGAACACCTGGGGTAGCTGGCAAGTAAAACGCATCTGGAGTCCTAGCTAAGCATTTCCAGTGTCCGTCGTCGAGTAGTCCTGCAGAACTCACCCGACATCTTATAAGCGATCCTGGTGCCACTCATCTGTACCTACTGGCCGCTCTCGTGAAGCTCGCCACTGACTTCCATCATCTGCTCGATCTGCTCGCCCGCCTCGTACTCCACGTGGCGCTGGATCGGTCCAATGTGGCTCATCAGACGGCGTCTGCAGGCACATTCATTCCCGTGGCATTTCCTCTGTTGGCCCCTTGGCCCCTCGCATCGTCTTTTACAACGTCCAGCGCGTCGCGGATGCGGAATCCAAACTGGATCAAAACTTTTGTCGCAGCCTTCCTCGCAGACCGCCAGCTCACACATCTTGTCAGCTCCGAAAGCCACCGCTCGGGGCTTCTTGATCTTCTCTGTCGGCCTCGTTCCACGTGGAGCCGTCCCTCGAGCTCGCTCTTCTCCAACGTTCATGGGAACTGCCTCGAAAGCTGCTGGGGCTGGTGCTGCTGGTGCCCCTCCTGGCCCTGCGTCGGGCAGGGTCGCGCCCTCCGCCTCTGGAGGTGCCGGGCTGACCGCTCCCCGTCCACTGCTGCTGCTCGCTGCACCCCGCGCGGGGTTGCCCGCGGCCGGCGCCGCCGCCGCGGCCTCCGCGGTCTCGGGCTTCTTTTCGGGCTTCTTCCTGACAAGGGAGCTTCTCCCTGAGAAGGTCCGCCTGGATGGTATCGAACCGCTGCTGGCACGTTGCCGAGTGCGATCCGTTACCGGTATTGCACTTCTTGCAAGCGTCCGTCGGGCCATGAGCATCGATCATCCTCTCCGTGATGTACATGCTGCGCTTCGCGCTGGCAGGAGCCTTCGCGGGTGTCTGCTCCCAGGGGGTCACTGTGATGCTTTCGAGCAATTCGGCATTCCATCTGAACTCTTTCTTCGGGCATTCGTCTTGCCGTTCGGACCTTCTAACTTCCACGCTCGAGGTCGATCGCCAGGTGCGCGTCGTCCAAGTCGCTCTTGCGGACCCAGATGCGTCTCGCAAGCCTGGCTTCCCATTTGCCTCGGCCCGCTGCAACCCGAGTTGCGATCCGATTCCAGATGTGTTCGCCGAGCTCCGCGACCTCGCCTGGGTGCCCCTTGCCCTGCAGCATCTTATGCGATGTGCCTCCATGGCCGCGTGGTTGGAACTTGGTGATCATTGATCCCACTGTGCCCACCAGCCGCGGCACAAGCAGGCCCTGTATCTCAATCTCCACTCCAAGCTTCTGCTCCAGCGTCAGCTCGTGCACCCGTGCAGTTGGGGCGCTGAAGAAGAAACCCTCTTCGTTGGGGGGGGGGGCTCGGTGTTCCTTGACTGTTGCGTAGTTTGCCCTGGATTTTCCATTCGTTTTCCATGGGAAATCAAAACTTACTTCTTGACGCTTCGCGTATCCCCACCAGCCCATCCTACACCAGGCACGCGAACGAAGAGCGCCGATGATCGGCAGCTGTTCTCCTCCCCTCTTCCTCCTTCTCCACCGCCTTCTCCTCCTCCTCCTCCTCCTCCTCCTCCTCCTCCTCCTCTCCTCCTCCTCCCTCTCCTCCTCCTCCTCCTCCTCCTCCTCCTCCGCCTCTTCCTCCTCCCTGGTGGCGTATTGGAAGTGTCTTCGAACGTTTTGGTGGGCTCTTGGGCCTTGCGGGCGGGCGGGCGGCGCTCCGCCCGCCCGCGCGCAGGGCCCAAGAGGGGGTCCAAGACGTCTCTCGGAGCCATCTTGGAGGAGATCGATCAACGAAGGGGGGTTCCTAAATTTCAGCCCCCCGCTCAGGAGCCACGATCCTCGTGAGGGGTGTCGAATTTTGGCCCTCCCAGGGGTCGATCTTGGACGCTCTGACCGATCGCGGCCCCCCCCTGTCCAGGTCAGTGGGGAGGGGGTAGGGGGAGGGGTAAACCCCTCCCCGAAGGAGAAGAAGGAGGGGTGGAAGAGGAAACGCTCTAAACCACCGACGCCCAGAGGGCTGGTGGGACTTATGGGAACAAGGGGCCTCGTTTTTTACACATCCTTCAAAAGCACTCCCCCTCTGTGATGCCGGAAGTCTGGGCCCGCACTGCGGGCAGCCGTTTTTGAAGGCACAAGCGTGGGCGTGCAGCGCAGCATGCTTTTGCCTCCCTCGCCTCCGAGGTCTGCACGACCTGGGACCACTGGAAGGAGTCGCCCTCCGCCACCTACGACTTCGACATCCTCTGGTGCGACACGGCCTGCGCCCGCGCCCCGCGCGGCCTCTCGCCCGGGCTGCGGTCGTCGGCACCGTCGTTCCGCGAGGGCAGAGAGGATGATGGGCCTGTTTTCCACCACCACCACCATCAGTTGGAGGGGGAAGGGGTCCTCCTCCTCCTCCTCCTGCTCCTGCTCCTGCTCCTGCTCCTGCTCCTCCTCCTCCTCCTCCTTCTCCTCCTCCTCCTCCTCCTCCTCCTCCTCCTCCTCCTCCTCCTCCTCCTCCTCCTCCTCCCCCTCCAACTTATGGTGGTGGTGGTGGTGGAAATCAGGCCCATCAGAGGAGGCGGATGAGGACCATGTTTTGGTAATCGCGGGAACGGCTAAGGAGAATGACAAGGATGATGGGCGCGGCTGACCCTGACCCTATCCTGCCATTGTACATTACATAGCCATCCCCTGGGGGGCTCCGAAGTGCGAAACCGTCGCCACTTTAGAGGGCTGCTGGGGGGTCCAGCGGAGTGACGGCCCGCCGCAGAGCACTCGCCATCCCTGGGGCGCTGCGACGTGCGAAACTGTCGCCACTTTCGAGGGCTGCCGGGGGGTCTAGCGGAGTGCTCCCCCCGGGGCTCGTACCTTGCTTTTTGCAATGGGAAGTCTAGGGCCTTCTGCGCGCCTTGGAGAGCGTCAGGGAGGCGTCTTGGCCGCCCACGGAACCTCAGGAGTAGGGGTGGTGCACGAAGCTGTTTGCGACGAGAGGGGGGGGTCCCTTCAAAGACTATTGAAACCCTGTCAGACAGCACTTGACATTCCTCCACGCCTCAGCGTGCTAAGGCACGGTGGTGGATGACTGGACGCGCCTCCGGCGTGCACCGTTGATTCCGGGGTGTTGCAGGATGCGGGGCGCGCCGCGCACTTCGCTGGCGGATGCCCGGAAAATGGCCGTTTCGCTCGAGACGTCTTCGAGCAGTCGGTTCCGGAGAGGATTCCGAGCCATCATAAATCTTGGAATCGCTCCCAGAGGGCTTCAAAACGATCGGGGAGAGCCCCCGAAGACCCCCAGGGGACCCCAAATTGCGCCCCGAGGGACCCCCAAGAGGCATGCAGAGGCCCCCCAAAAGCGCCCGAAGAGGCCCCGGGACTGCCCAAGAGAGCCCCAAGACGGCCCAAGGCAGCCCAAGGTGGCGCCAAGATGGCCTGAGAGAGCCCCCACAGAACCCTAAGACATGCCCAGACAGCCCAAGAAGACCACAGTAGCTTCCAAGAGGACCCCGACAGGCCCCCAAGAGGCCGCCAGGATGGCCCAAGGTAGCCCCAGACGGCCCCAGCAGCTCCCAGGGCAGCCTCAAAAGATCACGATGACCCCTCTCTTCTTTGACGTCTTTCTTTGTCGGGCTCTTTACCGTCCTTCTTCTTCGTTCGTCGTCGCCGTCGTCGTCGTCTTCGTCCTTCTTCATCTTCTTCTTCTTCTCCTCCTCCTCCTCCTCCGCTTCGTTCCTCCTCGTGCTCTTCCTCGTCCATCCCTTCCTCCTCGTCCTCGTGCTTGTCTTCCTGCTCGTTGTCCCTCCGCTCCCTTCGCTGCCCTCCCCGTCATCGGCGCCGCCATCCTCGACGCCCGCCGCCCTGTCTTCGCCACCATCCTTGGCTTCCCCTCCCCCCCACGAGCCCAGTGGACAAAGTCGGCACTTCCCGTTCTTGTCCGATCGAGTTTTGGCCTCTTGACAACATCGGCGCTTCCCGTCCCTGTCCGATCAAGTTTTGGCCTCTTGAAGGCCTCCGAGGGGGTCACGTGGGGCCGCGTTGGGGCCGTCCGAGGAGCCGCTTTGGACGTCTTGGGTCCTCCATCTCGGGCCGTCTTTGGCCCGTCTTGGTCGTCTTGCAGATCCCATGGGGCACTCTTGAACCCTCTGATGGCCATCCTGGGCCATCTCGGAACCATCTTGGGGCCTTCGTGGGCTTTCCTTGAGGCCCTGTGGGGTCCGTCATCGTGTCCGGAGGCGGATCCCTGTACCGACTGGTCAAGATCAGTCCGCGGGGTCAGTCCTCCGCCGCACGACTGGCCTACATACGGTCGGGAACTCTGGCTCAGCGTGTCGCTCTGCGGGCTCTGGCCCACCACGTTTCGGCGCGAGACGCTGACCTTTTTTCCGGCCCCCGATCGTCAACGTCCCGAGCCGTTCCGAGCCTCCCGCCCCGCGGAGCTGAGCGACACGCCATCCGCTCGCACGGCACAGCTTGCCGCCAGGGCCGCCGCGGCGACACGCGGTGCAGAAATTCCTGGCCGCACGTCGCCCTTTTTCCTTGCAGCGTTGCAGCGCCAGCGGCACTTCAGCGGGGCCACGGCGGGGGGCCCGTCTTACTCGCCCCGCGGAGCCTCCGTGCTCGTTGTTTCGTTCCGCCGCAGCTTGGGACTCCTGCAGCGTCGGCCGGAAGGCAACTTCTTCAAACGTTGTGTTTCTCCGCTTCGTCTCCGCCCCCGCGCCATCAGAGGCTGCAGTCTCCTCCTGTGCTCCTGCCTCCGCTTCCTCGTTTTCCACTCTTTCCCTTCCCGAGGGTCTTTGTTCCCAATCGTGGGCGCCTCTAGGCCTCCGACGTGTCCGCAGCCCGTGGTGGACAGACCTGGGGACACATATCATCACGCTCGAGGGAGGAAAATCCACCCCGACCCCCATGTTTGGCGTTTGCTAAACAGCCCTTGGCGTTTACTAAACAGCCCTGCCCTGTTCGATCCCTTCCCTAGGTAAAAAGGCCTTCGCCTGTGGGGTGCTCATCCTGGGGGTGGTTATTCTGCCCGCTACCCATGGAACACTCCTCTGATCTGTCCCGTCTGGGCCTTTCCAGCTTTGATTCGGTCTTCTCGTGACTGGGCGTGTCCGGATGGTCGATGAATACAGCCCCGCCTGTGGTGGCACGGTGCAAGGGGCCTCGGATATTCTACCTTCGTGACCATTTTGGCTCAAGTCTTGACGGTCCAGTCCATTCGACGACACTGTATGCACACCCGAATTCGGATCTTGATGACGATGGCTTTTGCTGCCAGTCCCCACTCTCTATTCATAACTCAGTTGCTATTTGCACCTGCTATCTGCGTCCAGATGCATGCAGGTGCGAGCGAGAAGTTTATCGAGAGCGTGACATTTGACGATAGCTCGGGCAGTAGATTCGATGACACGTCTGGATTTGATGATAAGGCTAGCAGGAAGCTCGATGAGGAGTCGGACGGAATGTTTCATCATGGCAAGTCTCAGAGCCGCGTCACGGTTTATGATACGGCGGAGTGGCTCGCCCTGGGCGAAATGAACAAGCTGGGCGTCACCAGGTACAAGAGCAACGCCATCATCAGGAAGAAGAGAAAGGACGGCAACTTCTTCTGGGCCGATTCTGTCAACCGCGACGGGGCAAATCGGTATTCTGGCGCGAAGGACCTCACAGAGTCCGTCTCATGGGGTTGGCACCACCCGAGTAGCCTCTACGGCACCATCCCAGTGGGCAGCCCCCTCATCGACGATGTCATGAATATCTACCTCGCCTCCGACGACGCCATCAGGAAGTTTGACGTCAGCGGCAACATCATGTGGAGCTACGCCCCCCGAGGCCAACTCGCAGCGGCACCCACCCTGTCCACTGGCTGCTCCTCCCGCCTCTCAGCTACTGCGGTGTTCGACATCAGTGCCGAGGAGGAGGAGGCACTGCGGCCGGACTGGATCAAGGGCAACGGGTCGGACGCAGAGCACCGTGCAAAGTTCTTCAGGGATTTCAAGGTCGGCGACCTCGTGAAGGTGAAGGCAGGCGCGAGCTACCGGGCAGACGGCAGGGAGCTTTACACAGCTGGCGATCAGGGACTCATCTCCGGTGTCGTCCCAGACGGTGAGGGCGGGTACGGCAGGGCGGTGATCGAGTGGACGCGCACGGGGCGCAAGAGCGCGGTTGAGTTCGACGCCATACAGAATCACTTCGTGCGCGTTGAGTCGGCCAGATGCACTCCCATGCTCATCGGGAGCACCACTTCCGGCTATGTGTTCGCGATCGAACTGTCGACCGGATACGAGGTGTGGGCACTGCAGGGCTCGTCTACGATCGCCGGTGTCAAGGGGGCTTTGGCCTCCAAGAGCGGAATCGTAGTGGTCGCGACCAACCGCTGCACTGACCGGTATTGCTACAGGTATCGCAACCAGACCAATGTCCTCACGCCTGGCAATACGGTGGTCCGGGGCCTGAATCCGGCAAACGGCGTTGAGGTCTGGAGCTTCGTGCCCGAAGCGCCTGTGTGGAACATGAACCCAGTCTGGGGGCCAGATAACACCGTCATTTTCAACGACCAAGAGGGCAGCGTGTATTGCCTGCAGCTTTCGACCGGAAGCCAGCTATGGAAGGGCGATGGTAAACTTGGAACGTACACCGAGGCAGCCGCCGTATACGACGCAGGAAACAACATGGTGTTCGGCCTCGGCATGCTCCAGTACGATGCCCATCTCACGCATCGGGCACACAATACTGGCTTGGATGTGGGATGCAATCCTTATGTAGCGCCTGGGATCCTTCCTAGATGCGGAAACGCGGCCTTCAAGCAAGGATTCGTCCGCGCCTACAACGCCACCTCTGGCCGGCTCCAATGGGAGAAGGTGACGCCACAACCGCCAGCCAGCGCCGTCACTGGTGGGCTCAACACTCCCAGATTCCACACCCGCTTGGTGGTCACCTTGGGCCACAACTGCGCACGCAACTCCCCTACCGAGATCCTCATCATGGACCCTGTCAGCGGACACTCTTTCTCGATGGATGGCCCGACGCTGTGGAGCGGCATGTGCGCCGGCGACAAGGAGGGTGGCGACATTCGCCGGGCCATGGGCGGCCGTGCCGTGTGCAGTCCAGGCAGCTGGTCCGCACCGGTTGTCGACGGGGACGGTGACGTGTACGTTGGCAACCAGGTCGGCGTGTATCAGAGGTGGGGCGCGCCCACCGGATACGGGACGGGGCGCAGGGACTTCCAGTTGCTCTCAAGCTTGGTGACCGGTGTGGCTTTCCAGGATTCGGCCACGGCGCTCGCGGATGGCCTCATGGCCGTGGCCACGTGCACTTCCCTCATCGTCTTTCAGACGGCGAATTTCTCAGACGAGTTTGCCAACACGACCTGGACCTTCCCGCCGCACGGATACACACCAGACTTTAATGCGTCTTCAGCGGGCTATTCACGATAAGTCAGCGGCACCGGTGGGTGCCGTGCGACGACGCTGCCACCTTCCCCGGGTCGTGGTCATGGCCGCGCTCACTGCGCCTTAATTGCAGGCCTTGTTTCGTGCCTACAGCACGCTAGCTTCGAAACCAGAGGCTTCATGATAGTCTTTTAGTGCAGGCTCCGAGCATTCATTCCCTTTTGCCCGTCACCTAAGCGAAATTGCGACTGCAAGCGATTCCGTGGAGAATGTGGAGAGGAGTAGGTGTGACAACGGGGAGTGGTGATGAAGAGTAGCGGGAAGGGGGAGAGTGCAGAGCAGGAGGAGGGGAAGGAAGAGGATGACGAGACGGACGCGATGAGCAGCAACCATGATGAGTACGACGATGAGCGAGTAGTGAAACATACGGTGGGGGCGTTGGTTAGGGAACGTGCACGGGAGGCATCAGACCCTGGAGGGTTCCTTATCTGATGAGGGCGGCGGCAACGTCCACTGCAACTCCGCGATTGGATTTCCACTGGCTTCCAGACCCTGGATTTCGTATCCAATGCTTCCTTATCTAATGCCCCCACCGTAGTGATGGTAAGGAAAAGGATCAGTGAGGATAGGGAGTGCGGATGAGGAGGAGCAGGAGGAGGAGAAGGAGGAGGAGGAGGAGGGGGAGGAGGATGAGGAGCAGGATGGCGAGGATGATTTTGTCAGAAAAGGGGGCCACAGAGGACGTGGAGTCAGGTGAGGAAGAGGATGATGAGGAGGAGTGCCAGTGTAAACCTAAGACTCATCAACAGTATTGCCATAAATCCTCCCTCCGAGCTCCCTCTTCACAGACCCCATACAAGGAGTCATTTTCACTTAAGGAAGTGCCCCGTTGGAAAACCACCGTTTGAAAATCCCGAACTGTGCCAGGACGCCATTCCTGGGACCTTCAACACCACGAATCCACCTAACTGTCGCGCCCCGACAGCCCGACATCTTGCCCAAACGCCATGTCTGAGAAGTTAGCTATGAGAATCCTTGAAGCGGCTGTAAGCTCTGAAGATGGATGTGTGTGGCGCTAAGGCGAGAGCCAAATTTTGAGAAGGCACCCCTCTCCATCCGTGAAGCTCGTGCACATTTGTAGGACGGATGTTCGCGGCGCCAAGGCGAGAGCCCCATTTTGAGAAGCCACCGCCCTCCATCCGTGAAGCTCTTACACACTCTAAGACCGATGTGTGCGGCGCGAAGGCGAGAGCCACATTTTGAATACCACCCGCCCTCCATCCGCGAAGCTCTTGCTAATCTTAAGACGGATGCGTGCGGCGCTAAGGCGAGAGCCACATTTTTTCAGGACAGGAGGCATTGCCATGTTATACCCGGACAGTGACATCCTTAACAACTTTGCCTTTGAAAGGTCTGGTCGCTCACTTTGCCATTGCGCCCTCTCGGGCCTCACTGAGGAGCAAATGCGCACTGCCAACTTCCAACACATCATGGAACTCCTTGCCAGGAGATTCCACCAAAACGTCACCAGGTGGAAAGAGGTAGAGCTCGCATGGTGAACCACGGTTCTACACCCACAGTCCCTCATCTTCGACGTCTTCACAGGCCCGAGCGACGCTCAAGGGGTCTTCCGCCTCTACGGGCGAGTAGCGCCAGATATGCGAAGGCGGCCACCAGGTCCACCGCCGACAGGATGGACCAAGGTGGTGCACTTTGGCGGCACCAGTCTCCTGGAGTGCGAACAGGACCAGGTACGGAGCCAGCTCCAGAGCCAGGAGCCGACCTCCCGCGCCGGAGCAGCCCCGTGACCATGCGCCACAGCGTGGCGCCGCCGACCGGCAGCCACCGAGGCCACCGCCACAGGCCGCGCACGACACGACCATGGGCGGGGGGGCGAAAGCGCAGACCACCCCCCGCCGGGTTCCGAAAAGGGCGGCCGCCAGCCGCGGAGGGACGGCCGTCTCAGGCCGGGGGGAGCGCCCATCGCGCGGACCGCAGGCGAGCCCCCATGCACGAGCTCACGGCAGCGAGCAGCCAACAGCCAAGGGACCTCGAGAGCGCTCTCACCATCAGTGTGCAGGCGCCCCAGCACCGCGGCGACCCGCTGGCGCTCTCTCCCTCCACCAACCACAGGAGAGCGAGCAGCCCCGCTCATCGACAGGCTCCACCGCGCGCAACGAGGCCTGGGCCGGCCTGCCGTCGCCCGCTCTTCTCGGGCGGCCGCCGCGGGGGCCGCCGCGAGGCGGCCCTCCCCGAGGCGGCGCCCTGCGCTGTCCCGAGTGCTGCGTCGCGCGCGCCCAGGCGCGTGCCGAGGCCGCGCTGCCTGCCGGCGGGGGCGCAGACGGGCCCCGTGGCCCGCAGGAGGAAGGGCGCCGTGGACGCACACTCGTGGCGCACCGCGCGGATCTCTTGGAGCTGCGCTGGGGCCCCCCCTGGCGGTGCTGGAGGCGCCGCCCCTGGCGCGCTCGGCGCGCCAGGGGGGTCCCGGCGCAGATCCGAGAAGTCCGCGCGGAGCTCCAGCAGTGTCTGTTGATGGCGTTTTCCTTCCTTCTTCCAGTAGCGGCCTGTTCGCCGCCGCCCGCCCTTTTTTCCGGACGGGGGTCCCCAGGACCGCGCCAAGGGGGCGGTCACCGCACCGCCCCCTGCTGCGTGCGCGCGGCACCCCTCCCGCCCTGAGAGGCAGGCCCGCGCGGTGCTCGCAGCCGCGTGGCCTTGCGACCTCTGGCGTCCAACCGTCGCGATCTCTCTCTTTCTCTTTTTGTTAGTTGTTGTTTTTGTTTGGTTCTCTCTCTCTCTCTATCTCTTTCTCTTTTGTCCCCCCCCTCCCTCCCCCCCTCCCTCTCTCGCCCGTCGTCCTCTCCCTCCGCTGCCCTTGTTTCTCCCTCTCTCCCTCTGACTCTCTCTTTTTCTCGTGCCCTGCTCCCCTCGCCTTTGCCCCCCCCCCCCCCCCCCCCCTCCCCCACCTTGCACCGCCAGCACAATCACCATCACCACCACCCCGCCCCCTCCTCCTCCTCTGCCTCCTCCTCCTCCTCCTCTTTCTCCTCTTTCTCCTCCTCCTCTTCCTCCTCCTCCTCCTCTTCTCGTTTTCCTTCGCGGTCTTACCCTCCTCCGGGTCTGTTGCCCGCTTCGGCCTTGAGGCCATACCTGCCGACCGGTTCATGAAGCTCAAGCAATACCAGAAGATGAACCACTTCGTGGCGAGCGACCCCCGGGTGTCCTCCTCCAGTATCCCCCCCTCCTTTTCCTCCTTGTCTTTGTCCTCATCCTCCGCCTCCACCTTCGGCTCCTCCACCCCGTCCTGCTCATCGTGCCCGTCCTGCTCCTTTTGATGCTGCGTCTTCTCCACTCCTCCTGCTGCCCAGAGCTGCTGATGCTGCTCCTTCTTCTTGCACGCCCCAACTCTCCAGATCCTGCTCCTCCTGCTCTGCCCTCTTGTCTTCCTTGCGATATTCTTTCGTGACCACCCCTGGGTAAGTGCAGCAGAATATTTAGTGACTCAGCTCAGGGCATCTCTTAAGTCCGCAGGCAGGCCGGGGGGGGCGTCGAGGCGTTCCCTTGCGGGCCCATCAAAGCGTTGCTTCCACTGCAGCGCTGGCCTCATGTCCGCGCTTCTGGCACTTCGAAATCGTGTTCCCGCTGCAGCGCTGGTCTCCTCTCTGCGGGGTCGGTCCTTCCGAATGGTGCTCCCGCTGCAGCGCTGGCCTCGTTTCCGCGCTTTCGCCCCCTTGGAAATGCGGCTCCCGCTGCAGCACGGGCTTCATGTCCAAAGTGTCGCTCCAGCATGGTTTTCCGGCAGCACCGTTCGTGCAGCCATGGTATGCAATTCAATGCTATGATAGGTATCGCTATTCTGCGATTCCATGCCCTGATCTGCAATGTTGTGATATGCAATGCTGGGGTACGCAGTGCCATACCAAGCTATCATGTGCCGTGCCATGCCATGGCGCGCCATGCAATGCTATGTGTTGTGACGTTATGCGATGCCATGCCTTGCGCTGCGATGCTATGATCTGCAATTCTTGCCTGCGCAGTACCATAGCATTCTATGAGATGTTACGCTCTGCTTTGTTCTCCTGTGCCATGGTATGCCATGCTTTGCATGGCGTGCCCTTTTGGAATTGTTGTCCTCTTCGGCATCCGACTGAGCGTACAGAGAAGGGCTCTACGCAATGGGGAGGGATGGGAGGGAAGGGTAGGACGTCAGATATGGCGCGAGCACACCTGGCTTGTACCTCCTCCGTCTCCCCCCTCCTCTTCCTCCTGCTCCTCTCTTCTCCTCCTCCCCCTCCTCCTCCTCCTCCTTCTCCTCCTCCTCCTCCCCCTCCCCTCCTCCTCCTCCTGCTCCTGCTCCTCCTCCTGCTGCTCCTCCTCCTCCTCCTCCTCCTCCTCCTCCTCCTCCTCCTCCTCCTCCTCCTCCTCCTCCTCCCCCTCTTGTGCTGCTCCTCCCTCTTCCTCTTTCTCCTCCTGGCTCCCTCTTCGGCCCCCCCCTTCTCCGCGCGCGCACGGGGCGCTAGCAGGGAACGGGGAGGAGGAGGAGGTGGGATGGAGGAAGGAGGACGACGGGGTCGGAGGGGGGGAGGGAGGGAGAGTAACGGGGAGGAGGGAACGAGGAGGGAGGGAGAGTAACGGGGAGGAGGGAACGAGGAGGGAGGGAGAGCAGCGGGGAGGAGGGATCGAGGACGGAGCGAGGAGGGAGGGAGGTAGGGAAGCTGACCGGTAGCAGGGTGGGGGATGGATGGAGGAGGGAACGCGACGGGGTGGGAGGAGGCAGGGAGGGATGTAGGGAGGATGCCATCGCACGGAACCCCTGCAGACAGAAACTTCGTCGCAAGCCACTCCTTGATCGATTGGCTAATTGATTCCTATTTTCCACGAGGAGGAGGAGGAGGAGGAGGAGGAGGAGGAGGAGGAGGAGGAGGAGGAGGAGGAGGAGGAGGAGGAGGAGGAGGAGGAGGAGGAGGAGGAGGAGGAGGGAGGAGGAGGAGGAGGAGGAGGGAGGAGGAGAGGAGGAGGAGGAGGAGGGGGAGGAGGAGGAGGAGGAGGAGGAAGGGAGGAGGAGGAGGAGGAGGAGGAGGAGGAGGAGGAGGAGGAGGAGGAGGAGGAGGAGGAGGAGGAGGAGGAGGAGGAGGAGGAGGAGGAGGAGGAGGAGGAGGAGGAGGAGGAGGAGGAGGAGGAGGAGGAGGAGGAGGAGGAGGAGGAGGAGGAGGAGGAGGAGGAGGAGGAGGAGGAGGAGGAGGAGGAGGAGGAGGAGGAGGAGGAGGAGGAGGAGAGGTAGGAGGAGGAGGAGGA